CAGAGAGAGAGAGAGAGAGAGAGAGAGAGAGAGATTATATACAGACACGTACACTATATACACATACAGATTACAACAAGTGTGGTGAATCCCCATTTCTGTGTGCTTAGGTGTTCGTGAGCAGGGATCAATGACCCGGTGACCAGAGGGAAAAAAACGAGGGTTGGGGGTATTTAGTTTTTAGTAAATCATAATAACAAGGAGAAGATGGAGATGGATTGGGCATGATCTGAGAAGAGAACCAGACTCTATTGTAAAGACTGCCCTCCACTGGACACCCGAAGGACATCGCAAGAGGGGCAGACCCAAAGTGACTTGGAGACGCAAAATAGAGTCTGAAAAGAAGTCCTAAAACCATTCGTGTGGGGCGTTGACCAAAATGGCCCAAAACAGGCACAGCTGGAGATCCTTTGTTACTGCCCTAAACGCCAGATTGCGTAACGGGCAGTAGTAAGTTGGGTAATTAGTAACTCTTTTACGGCACTTGCAACACAATAAGTCCATATACGTGCCAAAGATTACAAGTGTTACAAGAGAGAGTGAAGAGAGAAACAAACAAATATGGAGGAAAAATAAGGACCATAGACGTTTGCACCCGACAACCACACAATAGTACAAATGTTTGTGCGTGTGTGTGTGTGTGTGTGTGTGTGTGTGTGTGTGTGTGTGTGTGCATGTGGGTATGTGCGTGTGTGTGTGTGCGTGCGCGCAAGAGTGTGTGTGTGTACATGCGTGTGAGTGTGAGTGTGTGAGCCTGTGTGCGTACATGCGTGTGCGTTTCTGTGCGCGTGTGTCTGCACGCGCGCGCACACGCACGTGTATGAGAACCATCTGGCGCAAGAACTCTCTGCACATCACATACAATTTATCCCTAACTCAAAAAGTTCACCAGCAGCACCAGGCACTGTACCAACCATCACATAAACCCCCATGTATGGAACCAAGTAACACCACCGGTAGCCCTGTGAACTGAATGCCCCTGGCTACACAACACTGCTTTCGCCTGTTATTCCTCTTCGGCTAACGACTCACGGAGGGTCGTGGTCTATGCGGGCAATGTATGTTGGAAGAAAGTTAACGTTCTTTATTAAAATTTCTCTTTGAGTCATTTAATTCATTTATCTATTGC